TATACAAATAGCCAAAGTAGCAGGTATTGTTACTTTTCTTGATGAACACCCGACAAACAAACTTCTGTATTCCTTTCTTCTGAAAGTCTTTGCCCAACAAAAAACTGGACACTTTTATGAACCTTCTCAGGTATCGTGATGGACTCAGGCGACGGCGTGTCCCACACTGTGCCCATCTACGAGGGCTACGCTCTCCCCCACGCCATCGCGAGACTGGACTTGGCGGGCCGTGACCTCACTGACTACCTGACCAAGATCCTGACGGAGAGAGGCTACAGCTTCACCACCACCGCCGAGAGAGAAATCGTCCGCGACATCAAGGAAAAACTCTGCTACGTCGCTCTGGACTTCGAGACCGAGATGACTACGGCATCGACATCTTCGTCTTTGGAGAAGAGCTACGAGCTTCCAGACGGTCAGGTCATCACCATTGGCAACGAGCGCTTCCGCTGTCCCGAGGCTCTTTTCCAGCCAAGCTTTCTGGGTATGGAAAGCGTTGGTATCCACGAGACCATCTACAACTCCATCATGAAGTGTGACGTGGACATCCGGAAGGACCTGTACGCCAACACAGTCCTGTCCGGTGGTACCACCATGTACCCAGGTATTGCGGACAGGATGCAGAAGGAGATAACTGCTTTGGCGCCTAACACGATGAAAATCAAGGTGATTGCTCCCCCTGAGCGCAAATACTCTGTCTGGATCGGAGGCTCCATCTTGGGTTCTCTGTCCACCTTCCAGCAGATGTGGATCTCCAAACAGGAATACGACGAGTCTGGTCCTTCTATTGTACACAGAAAATGTTTCTAAATGTTTCCACACACAGCAACATTTGAAAATGAGTTTTGTATTTTAAAACGTTTTTGAAACTCATGATCGTTTAAATTTTGTAAGTTGACAGACAAATGAAAGTCATTCTATCTGCAAGCATAATTGTCGTGGATCTTATTTCATAATTTTAAGAAAAGAAATATTCTGATTTCACCTTTAAAATAACAACAACAAAGAACGGGACTTTGATGGCTATGACGTTGTTGACAATGACATTACGTATGGCTATCTTTTTCATAAATTTGAACGACTTGCAAGCCTATTTTGCATATCCTGACCCAGAAAACACGTGTGCTTCTACTATATTTTATTTTCTACTAGTCGTAAAATGGTCGCTATGTTTGTGTATAATGTTTAGCTGATTATGTATAGACTGCTCGACATATTTATGGTTTCGGAATCTTTTTCGAAGTCTCCAACCCCATTGCACAATTTGTACATGAAAAGAACTATAGTGTATATAATATATTTTTTTTCTTATTTGTTTTCTACGCAGACAAAAAACATTTATTGTTTTAGACAGATGAATCTTCAAAATAAAGATTTTGAAAAATATTATTTGCGCCTTGCATTTTGTTCTTAAAAAAAACCCATGCTACAAACTTGAGAGAGAGAGAGAGACCCGTTTGCCACAAATATAGAAAATATATTGGAATAAGTTAACTTTTCTTATATTTTCTTATATGTTTGTCCAACAATGGGACACAGCATACATATTATTGCAATTCACATAAAACGACCGCGGATCGTTGGAGGTCTCACCTTCTGTTTTTTGGCAATTCCTGTCAGTCAAAAGGACATTTTTTAAAATGGAGTTATTTTTACGCCCCCATTGAAGAAAAAACGTACATCATTATCATTAAGGAGGTGAACCTACGAACCTGCATGTCACAGCCAACCCAGGCTGAAGGGATACACAATATCCCCGAAGAAAGACCGAGACACTCTATAAAAATTATCTCCACTCGGGAATCAAACTTGGATCTCCTGTAAGCGACAGCGAAGCGCCCAACCGCTACACTACAGACGGTGATCGGTCAAAGGAATAAAATAAAAGCTTTTCCGAAGAGATAAATAACATACCACTTTTATTGATTGCATTCGGACTATTTGTTTGACAATGCAAGGACAATACATGCAGCAGTAAAAAAAAAAGAAGAAAAATCTACACTAATTAATGTGTCAACGCTACATAGCAGGCCTACTAAATACCGCACCAATACAACGAAAATAATCATCTTACAAAAACAGGCCATTGTTGTTCAACCCTGTGCTACACCCTTTTGAGCTTGTGTTCTCGTGGCTTGCTCAAATGACCACCTAGCTTATCACTGTGTCATCGACACAATGTGCTGCCCTTTCCTCTTCAAGAAAGTTATTGTAGATGCTTTACGCACATTATATACACAATTTAGATCATTTCGGAGACAGGCTGCTTCTACCTTGCCTTTCAGGTCTAACCTGGACGGTGAGGGATAGTTCCTACAACACCCAAGTAGATAGACGGAGAAACTCGATTAAAAAAAAAGACCAAAAAAATCTTCCCACAAAGGAATCGAACTCACGTCTTCTGCGTGCGTCAGTGAAATGCCTAACCGCTACACCACAGTCGCCGGCCTGAACTCTCTCTCTCTCTCTCTCTCTCTCTCTCTCTCTCTCTCTCTCTCTGCGCCATCTGAAGCAAAGAGCATACTTCCTGCGGACACTTTTTAGGCTGAGTGGCCCATCTTGTCTTGTACTATCTTTGGTTTTATCAAAGACTTTCGCCAACTTTCTACGAGTACTTAAAAGAGCGCAGCCAACATGTGAAATCCAAGTGGACTCTTGAACTTCTGGCGGGTGTTTGGGAAGCGAATTAATTAATGAAATGAAATGAAATTAAAAGAAAAAAGCATTTTAATTTTTACTTTTTATTCAATAGCCTACCAGGTAATTTATAACTGGAGACAAATTCTGATGAGTTATCTGAACAGAAAGAAGCAGGACGTGCTATATAATATCAACGCCTCACTAAAGGAAATGAAAAGAGAAAAAAAAAGGGCGAAGGAGGAATGAAGGCTAGGGCTGATCAGAAATTACCTTATAAAGCCATCGTATGGGATCTGACAGCGAACACGGCTTTGCATAAGCTTATTTATTGAATTCATTTATTTACGTTCCCGGATTCTGAGGGCCCCTCAGCGAATCAGGAAGACCTGAGCCTGAACTGTGTCACACGTTTGCCGTCATGGCTGGCTAATTATGACGTCTGACTAAAGTTCTATTTTTAGAATTAATCTCGAAGGGGGTTTTGCGTTTGAGAAAGTTATAAATAAGGTCAAGACACTGTTTACACACTACACACAGGCGTGTAGCAGAGCACACTGACGTGTGTCTTCAGGAAGTTCTGTTCGAGTTCAAGAGGGGTTTTTCAAGACTATTCGCAAGTCTAGTGATTTACCCAGCGGAATGGGATCTTGTGCTTTTCAAGAAAAGAATGTCTTGATTATAAAAAAATGAGAAGCAACAACGGAACATGCCATGTTTCAAAGAAAATATTTTAACTCTAAAGTTTTCAGTGATTTTATAACTAACTGGAACGTCAGATAGTCCTTTTAACTAAAAAACAAAACAAAACAAGTAGATCTAAACATAGCTATTCATGAGTTGTATAATCCACCCAACCGAAAGTGACATTGTAGGCCTACCGCTTTTTTCATGAATTTATTCATGAACCCAAAATGTCTAGACATAATAATAATATAACACACAATGTTTCAAAGTGAACGTCTTCACTTCAGGCAGTCAGTCGTCCAATATCTGAACGTTTGGTATGAGAAAACAAGTCCACAGTTTGCCAGTGCGCACGATCAGCTGACCCACACTGTAGAATAAATCAGTGATACTAGATATCTAGATTTTGTATAAATCTGTACAATGTTTGACGACGAGGAGTTTCCAGCCCTTGTGCTAGATAGTGGGTCCGGTGTGTGTAAGGCTGGTTTTGCTGGGGACGATGCTCCCAGGGTTGTGATCCCCTCCGTTGTCGGAAGACCAAGACAACAGGTTTGTAGGCCTATGTAATATTATATCAGTTTTGCGTTTACATCATTCATTAACTGTATTATCATTGTAAGTCTCTTTATCAGTTTGCTTGTCTGTCTGTATCTCCGTTTGTCCGTTTTCTTGTCTGTCTGGCCGACTGTCTGTTTTCTTGTCTGTCTGTCTGTCTGTCTGTCTGTCTGTCTGTCTGTCTGTCTGTCTGTCTGTCTGTCTGTCTGTCTGTCTGTCTGTCTGTCTCATAGATAAACCTTAAAAGCTATGTCTCTCAGT